TGATGGTGATGGTGGTGGAGGTGATGGTGGTGATTGTGGTGGTGGTGGAGGTGATGATGGAGGTAATGGAGGTGGTGGTGGTAGAGGTGGTGATGGTGGAGGTGATGGTGATGATGGTGGTGATTGTGGTGGTGGTGGTGGTGGAGGTGACGGTGGTGGAGATTATGGAGATAATGGTGGTGGTGGAGGTGACGGATATTCGAACATGCCTGACCTGAGAAAAGTTCATTTTCATTTTTGGCTGGGCACGGTGGCTGATGCCTGTAACCCCAGCTCTTTAGGAAGCCTAGGTGGAAGGATGGCTTGAACCCGGGAGGTCAGGGTTGCAGTGAGCTATGACTGCACCACTGCACTCCAACCCAGGTGACGGAGCAAGACCCTGTCTCTTAAAGTATTTTTTTACAGTGCATTTTCATGTGGTTCAACCTCATAGTGTCCCTGCCAAAAATATTTTAATCTGAAACAAATCATGGGGAAATTATGAGACAAATCAGGTCAAAAGACAGTCTACAAAACAGTTGGCCTGATCTTTTCAAAACTGTCAACCTGTTAAAAGAAAAAAGAAAAAAAAATGACCAGGGAACTCTTCTAGAAAAGAGATGTGATAAGTAAATGCAGAAAAGAGATGTGATAAGGAAGTACAGTATGTGTCCCAGGAGGATCTAGGATCTAGTCAGGACAGGAGCTGGAGCACGAGAGGAACTGGGGTGGAGACCGCTTCCTGGGGGCAGCGTCCTCCTCTCCACGTTGCACGTCCTGACTGGGAAACCTGCACTAGTGTTGTGCAGAGAAGGGCTAGAGTCTTGTGAGACCCTGCCCAGGTATGTAGTGGCAAGACGCCATGATGCCTGCAACTTGCTTTCTAACGGTTTGGGAGAGAAAATGCTAATTTATGCGAAGAGTCTGAAGAGAGAACAAGGAGGGGAGAGGAAAAGTGAAAGCAGCTGTGTGAAACGTGAACAGCTCAGGTCTGGAGTTGAATGAATGTGGGTGGTGGTATGCTATTCTTGTGACCTTTTTGAAAGTTCAAAAATTTTCAAAGTATAACGTTAGAGATAAATCCTTTCAGAATAAAAAGCCAATTGTGCAGTAGGAAGACCAGTAGTGGCCCCTGGTTGGGTCTCGGATTCCAGAAAGCCATCCTGGGCTGCTGTGACCTGCCACTAGCACGGCTCACTGTTGACGAAGGCTGGGGAGAGCCCTGGCGTTCGCGTAGTCCCGCGCTCTCTGTATTGCCGTAATGCTGCCTTTCTCCCTTCATGGGAGCGTGCTGTGGCGTTTAGTCGTGAGCGTGGGTGTGACCTGTGTTTGGGTTTTGCAGGTCTGGAGGCGGCTGGTGGAAATCCACTTCCCCGTGGAGCATGGCTGGAAGGAGTCATTGCTGGAAGACATGGAATGGAGGCTCAAACAGGTAGGAGAAGTTGGGGGACATTCTTTTCCAGGGCGTGAAGGCAAGCTGGAGAACCCCAGACCATTAGCGACAGCCAAGAGATCTCAGCGGTGCCTCTTGTGGGCAGGGACGGGGCGAATCACAGCTCTGTGTTTCTGTTTCTGATCCAGCCCTTACAGTCTGTCCCCAGAAGAGCGCTTTGGAGTCTTACTGAGAGGACAGAGAGGAACAAGGGCCCAGGATCTCAGCATCATGGGGGTGCAAGATTTTTCCTGACCCCTTTGTTGGACTTGCGATGGGGATGCTGTGTTTACTTGGCCCGCCGTGCTCAACCCCTTGTGGGAGGGAGCACGTGGGCAAGTGTGGCATCTGGCCAGCTGCTTTGGGAGCTGGCAAGCGCAAGCTCTGTGCGGGCCCTGCAGCAGTGCCACGTTGAGGTGCCTGCAACCCCCGAAGCTCCAGAGGGCAGGTGCTCTCTTAGCTCTGCCGTCTATGGACGGTGGTGTGTTATCAGCTCAGTGGGGCCCTTGTCGTGTTGCCTAGGGTGGCTGCCCTCTGCCATCAAGGGCAAAGGGCCAATGTGAGAGCCTCTTTTAGGTACCCATACTCAGTGGGCCCCGAGCTCTCGTCCAGCATCCAAGAAGTATGAGGTCACCTGGACACTTGGAGGATGGTGAAGACAAAGAATTTTATTAAGCAACGGACATGACTCTCCGTGGAGAGGGGAGCTGGAGAGGGGATGGGTCAGGTGGGGAATCTTCCTCTGGTCCAGCTACCTCTGGCTGGCTCTTTCCTGAAGTCAGGACGTCTTTCCAAAGTTAAACCGTCTCTCCTCCGAAGTCCAGCCATCCTGCTGAAGTCAAGTCACTGTCTCCAGTCAAGCTACTTCTCTCTCGCTACCAAGTCTGGGGTCTTTATAGGCACAAGATAGGGGGCAGGGTGGGCCATAGGTAGTTTTGGAAAAAGTAACATTCTATTGGTAAAAAGACATTTCTCTGCAAGAACCAATGGGGAGAGAGCACGCACACAGGGAGAGAGGTTCTCACTTTGGGCCATGGGTTTCAGGCTTTTCGATTCAAAGGTGGGGTTTTGCCAGGGACCCGCCCCCTGTCTGCATAGGATTTATCTGCCTCCTGCCTCCCTCAATGGGGCCCCAAGCATAGGAGGGGCCAAGCCTGCCCACAGGCAGCAAGTCTGAGTGGCCTGTTGGTGACAGGAGCCTCATGAAAGAAGTGGAGAACACGCAGACATGCCCCTCATGCTGAATTAAGGCCTGAGGCTCAAGGAAAATTAGCTTTTATGTGATACGAGAGTTTTATATGTAACTTTTTTTTTTTGTTATTTATTTATTTGAGACGGAGTCACGCTCTGTCGCCCAGGCTGGAGTGCAGTGGCGGGATCTCGGCCCACTGCAAGCTCCGCCTCCCAGGTTCACACCATTCTCCTGCCTCAGTCTCCCGAGTAGCTGGGACTACAGGCGCCCGCCACTACGCGCGGCTAATTTTTTGTATTTTTTTGTAGAGATGGGGTTTCACCGTGTTAGCCAGGATGGTCTCGATCTCCTGACCTCGTGATCCACCCACCTCGGCCTCCCAAAGTGCTGGGATTACAGGCGTGAGCCACCGCGCCCAGCCTATATGTAACTGTTAAATGGATCTTTGGAGGGAAAACAGAAACCAGGAAAAATGACCTATTTCTCATAACTTACCTGTTTTGGCAAGCCAGGTGCTTTTTTTGCAGACTGGGAAAAGAGACTCTTTTTTAAATTTTAGCCTTTGGTCCACTGGCGGGGGGCAGGAAGGACATGCTTTGCATGGGTGGGGAGAAGCTTAAAATTGGGGGAAACGGTATAACAGTGGGAAAGTAAAGATGATGAAAGCACTTTGATCCCATAGAATACTGGAGTGCTGCATCCAAAAGCTCTGAAACCCCTCTTCGATTTTTGCAGGAGAAGCCCCTCTCCCAGATCACTGCCTACTGCAGTAGTCACTGGGACAGCGAAGGCTTAGAGGACAGTGTGGCCAAGACCTTCGAGAAATGCATCATTGAAGCCGTGAGCTCAGCCTGCCAGGTGAATAACCTCTCCTCTCAGGGAAACGGATTCGGGCTCACAGCTGTGTTCTGCCATGACCCAGCTAAGGGCTATGAAGCACCTGCTGGGTCTCAGCTCCTTTGCCAACTCAGAGATTGGGAAGTGGGCACCCTCCTCCCTCGCCCAGGGCAATGGCGCTGAAGTCCGGTTCTCTCCGGGTTCCTCGGTGTGCTGCACGGTCCCTGCTGCTCACGCCATCCTGCATGTGTTCTGTGTGGAATCACGGCCGTGCGCGTGTGGCACAAGTCAAACGGGCTTGCAGGCCGCTCCTCAGATGGCCCCGTTATCGTTGTGCCTGCTGGTTTGCTTGATTGTTAACACTTGCTCAGTAGGTATGTGGGAAAAGACTCCAAAGGTTGACAGAACATTTATGGAAGCAAAATATGTGAAATGGAAAATGGTATCAATTTATTTAGCTATTTTCTGCAAAGGGGAAGAGATTGTGCCCCCCTGTCTCCCAGGAACAGTCTCCCAGGCAATGCTACACGAAGAAGCTCCCTGCTGGCCACGGCTCTCCCCGCTCACATTTCCTAACTGGACACTTAACCCCCGCACAAGCACAGCCTTGCTTCCGCAGGGACAGTCCGGAACCATTGAGGTCATCGAATTCCGAGGACCAAGGGGTTCTAATTTTTTAAGTGAGTGATACCTTTGATAAGGTTTTCCTTTCCCTTTTTTGTTAACACGGTTGAGAAATCGTTCATATGCCATACGGTTCATCCGTGAAAAGTTCCAGTTCAGCAGGTTTTGGGGTAGTCACGGATATGTACAGTCATCACCACAGTCAACGACAGAGCATTTTCATCACTTCAAAAAGAAACCCTGTCCCCTTTAGCCATCATCCTCCTCCTCCCCTCCAGCCACCCACTCCCCTCTGCAGCCATAAACAATCGCTGAGCATAAACAATGGCGTCTGTGGCTTTCTCTGTTCTGGACTGTAATATGAATGGAATCATGTATGTGGCCTTTTGGGTATGGCTTATTTCACTGAGCATAATGGTTTTTGTTGCTGTT